TATCCTGAGAAATCCATGGAATTCCTGAGGACAGGGACAGCCAGAGCTGAGCCCAGGAGAGTTATCCTGGGAAATCCATGGAATTCCTGAGGACAAGTACAGCCAGAGCTGAGCCCAGGGGCGTTATCCCGGGAAATCCATGGAATTTCCTGAGGACAGGGACAGCCAGAGCTGAGCCCAGGGGCGTTATCCCGGGAATTCCATCACCTCCTTCCCACATAATCCACTGGTTTTCCATGGCTGGAGGTGCCACACAGCCCAGCACGGCCCCACCGAGCTCCAGCCAGGATTGCCAGCAGCAGTTGGCAACCATGGAGCAGCTGGATTTGGCCAACATCTGTCCAGCAGCCCTGGGCCAGTGAACAGCTGGATTTGGCCAGTGCCCACCCAGCAGCCTCGGGCCAGTGAACAGCTGGATTTGGCCAGTGCCCACCCAGCAGCTCTGGGCCAGTGAACAGCTGGATTTGGCCAACATCTGTCCAGCAGCCTCGGGCCAGTGAACAGCTGGATTTGGCCAGCGCCCACCCAGCAGCCTCGGGCTGGTGGCCACAAGACAAAGGCAGTGGCCAAAGGCGCCTGTCCCCTCAGGCACAGCTGGGTTTTCACTTCCTGGCCAGGGAGAGGCTCAGGAGACCCAACCATCTCTGCCCTCTCAGCTGAAGGCACTGGGAAAGAGGAATTCCAGGAATTCCGGCCCTGCCATTTCCATCTTTTGCACAAAGTGAGGTTTTCTCCCCATGGGTGAACTGGAGAAAGCAGCAACGCAAATCCCCGCTGACGCTGTTGAGGCAGGACGGGAATGAAGAGAAGAGTAAAACTCTGATTTATTTCAAAATGCATCACTCTCCACACAGAGCTTTGTCCAGGCTAATTCCATTGATCCTGAAGGGAAAACAACCCACACCATTGGTGCACAGTGCATGTTAGAACTTAACTATAAACAATGTGAACCACGAGGAGATAAAACCTCTTATTTGCATTCTTTTCCAACAGATTCCCAGCTTCTGCCTGCTTAGAAACTTTTCGTTTCTCTCTTTGACTGAATCTGAGATCCACACCCCGCTGCCCACCTGGGCTGGGGCCAAAAATCCAGAAAAAAAGCCAGGGGCCTCATAAAATCGGGGTAGCTGGCCGGACAGAACACACATCCAGTCAATATAATTAATGCAACATTCTCCATTTATTTGAGAGAAGATGGAAGTTTTTATAAGCTTCTACATAGTTTACAAAGGCACTCTCATTGGCAAGCCAACATTGTTTACCTTTGTCTTAAGGTGGCCTAAACCTCCCACTATAAACCTGTGCTGCTTCACACCCAGACAGCCCAGTGCTCCCCATCACACCTTAATACAATTTCTAACTGCGCCATAAACTCTTAATTTCTAACTGTGCCACAAACTCTTAATTTCTAACTGTGCCACAAACTCTGAATTTCTAACTGTGCCACAAACTCTGAATTTCTAACTGTGCCACAAACTCTTAATTTCTGTGTCACAAACTCTTAATTTCTAACAGTGCCACAAACTCTTAATTTCTGTGTCACAAACTCTTAATTTCTGTGTCACAAACTCTTAATTTCCAACTGCGTCAGGGGCTTGGAGGCCTCACAAGGCCCAGATGTGAGGTCTAGGCTGGAGTAGCTCAAATCTCGTAACTGATGTCCTCTCTCTCTCAAAAACGCCATGAGACAGAAACACCTGAAAAGCGGCTCTGGAATTCCGGCCGGGGTGGTGCAAACAGAGCGGAGCACCCCGAGTGTCCTCGGAGAAGGGGCTGGCGGGAATGCCCAGCTCCCCCTTTTCCCAGCCAGGCTCAATGGAAGGCGCCGCTGGCGAGAGGGGGAATCCTCCCCGGCCAGACCGGCGTTCCACACCCAGGAAGGGCGTCCTGAGGTGGGGAGGAACCCGGAGGAACCTTCTCCAAGGCCAGCTCGTGGTTATCCACCTGCAGCACGGCGTGGGGCAGCAGCTGGGGCGGGCTGGGGGGCTGCGGAGCCCTGGGCTCGCTGGTGTCGGGGCGGAAGGACGCCGGCTCCTTGCTGAAGGTCGCCGTCTTCTCCACGGCGCTGCCGCGGCCCAGCAGGGAGGCGAAAGCGGCGCGGAATTCGGCGTTGGAGGCGTAGACGATGGGGTTGAGGGCAGAGTTGGCCCAGCCCAGCCAGGTGAAGGCGCTGAGCACGGCCCTGCTGACGCACGGCTCGGGGGCACAGAAGGGCACCAGGCAGTTGAGCACGAAGAAGGGCAGCCAGCAGCACACGAAGACGCCCATGATGATGGAGAGCGTCTGGAGCACCTTGGTCTCCTTCCTGAGGGAGGTGTTCAGGGAGGTTTCCCGAGGGCGGCCGCTGCGCCCCGCCGGTCTCTCCAGGGAGGAGATCCTGCGGAGCTGGCGCCGGGCGATGCGGAAGAGGCGGCCGTAGGTGCCCAGCATGATGGCAACGGGGATGTAGAAGCTGACGAGGGACGAGGAGATGGCGTAGGCCCCGCTGAGGCTGGGGTCACAGCTCCCCTCCTCCGCAGAGCCGTTCAGGCCCGGCTGCTCCCGGCCGGGCGGCCCCCGGGCCCTGTGCCACCGCAGCCGCACGGGGATGAAGGAGATGAGGAGGGACAGCAGCCAAGCCACGGCGATGGTGACGAAGGCCAGGCGCCGTGTCACCCTCCTGGGGTGGAGGAAGGGGCTGGCGATGGCCCAGTAGCGCTCGACGCTGATGAGGCACAGGTGGAGGATGGAGGCCGTGCAGCACATGATGTCAAAAGCCACCCAGAGGTCACAGAAAGCCCCGAAGGGCCAGAAGCCCAGCGCGTCGCTGGCAGCTCTCCAGGGCATCACCAGGACGGCCACCAGCAGGTCGGACACGGCCAAGGACACCACGAAGAGGTTGGTGACCTTGGAGCGCAGGTGTGGGAACCGGAGCACGGCCGCGCACACCAGGGCGTTCCCCAGCAGCGTGCAGAGGATGAGGAGGGACAGGCAGGCGGCCGCCACCACCCGCAGGGACAGCGGGGACAGCCTTTGTCCTGCCCGGCTGGTGGCACCGAGCACGTCCTGCCCGTGCCCAGCTGCTCCTGCCCAGGGGTGAAACCCATCCATGGCTGCCCCGTTCGTCCCGTCCTGCCGAGGTGTCTCAGCTGCTCAAGCCTCCATCAGCATCCAGAGCCCATTTTCCCTCTTCTCTCTGCTCCCACAGAAGCTCCAAGCTGCAATCCAGCACAGGAAAAGTGGTAGAACCTCTCGCTCCTTTCCAAGATTCTGCTGACAGGATTTGTGGATTTTTGGAGCTTGGATTTTCCCTCCTGCCTCCCACGCCAGTTCCCTTCCTCTGCTGCTCCCAGGAGCCAGAACTCACCCCCAGGGCTTTGCTGCAAACCTTCCTCCCTCTCCTCTCTCCTCTCTCTTCTTCACCTGCTGGCGCTCCTGCAGAATTCCCAGATCCCTTTGGTGGCCAGGCTGGGATCCGTGCCGGGAGGGGTCTGAGCTGCCTCTGCTCCCTGCTCACAGCCCCCTGCTCTTCCCCCTGCAGCCAAATCCCTCTGGGTT